AGATAAAGTACAAAACTTGCTGTTGGCCATGTTCATTATATCCCTGTTTAAACATTGACTCATGGCTAAAAGAGACAGAAAGCACTGTGTGAAGCAGCCCTAGGGATTAGACTTCACAGGGAATGAAATTGTGTACTTACCATTGTTTCCATGCCCCAATTCATCCTCTATCTATTCTGTGCTTTTGTCCTCCTTGCAGACCTTGTGATGAGCAGCACCCAGAAGTGAAAGCTGACTGTTATGTGAACAACCTGGCAGAAGCCATTGACGTGATTCTCAGGCATTTGCATAAGTAAAAGTGCTGCAGGAGGCCACTTAAGGCAAAGAGCTGTTAATGTAAGATCTTTGGCGTAACTGCACATTTCTATTAATGTTCAAGTCTTCATCCAATGCTTATGTACTAATTGTGAAGCACTACAAACATGCCTTCACAATCTAGTTTAATTTGCCATTATACCCAGCTAACGTGATATATTGACCATAATGGAAAAACAAAAATGAAGTTCAATGCATGCTTATTACTCTGCCCCAGGAATCGTTTGAATCTTATTTGTCTGTCTGGGGATACTGTATCATATCACTGAATAAACATCTGTGCCATGTACTACTTGACATGGGAACTGCTTCTTATCTTGGCCATTTTTTGTCGTCGTCTTATTTCTTACAAGAAATGCCTACAGAAAGCAATCATTCTAGATCATGGTCCTAAAGAGTTTTGTGCAGAATTGCCGCAGAAGACACTAGTAAGATTATGTCTTCGGATAATTTCTCATTTTTATTGTCTCCACCCATTCAGTAGGAAGAAAGAAAGGATCATGCTAGGAATAAAGACAGATGTTTATACAACAGCAGGAGTGTTTATCAGCATCCACACCACACCTGGCCCAAATATTTCCTCCTCCTTCAAGATTGAGCTCTGGGGCGGAATGGTTCTTCCAAGTCTGCAGTAGAAGCCGGCTTTCCATCATTCTTATGGTGGCATCCTGCAGCATCAAAATAAAACTTTCCCCACTCCCAGCCCCTGAAGCAGTTTTGGTTTCTTTTAATCTGTTTTAACAAGATGATGAATGAATTATATAAACATAATGCAGAGCATTTAGACAGTTTTAAGGTGCACCCAGCCTCCCTGAAGTATCAGAGGAGGAGCAGCAGAAGTGTCTGAGCCAGCATTTGAATCACTGGTATGCACATCTGTTGCTTTAGTTTCAAAGCTGGATTCAACCATCCACTGTAGGTGCTATCTTTATATTGCATCTCTCTTTTGAAACTTAAACGTACTTATTTCTCAGATAAGTGAATGGGTTGTTTCAGAAGTAATCTGGGCTGTCCCTTATTTTCAAAAAATACTTGACCTGCAGTTGCTATGACCTCCTGATAGAACCCAAATTAAGTCAGAGATCAGTAGTTTGGGGAAAGTTTTCCTTTATATTTTGCATGCATGCCATTCTATGGATGTCAGGAGTTCTGTGTACTTTCATCCTCAGGAACATGTACATCACTGTTCACTTCATATCTTGGAGGTAACATCAGCTCCCATGGCTGGGCTGTTTTTGTCAAATCCCATTGTTTTACTCTTGATGTTCTCCTCTTAGAATACGCTTGCACATAGGGAAGACTCTTCTGTTGGTCAGCTGCCAAGCTGAAAGTGCGGGTGTTGAGTTCCTTGTGTTTCAAGCCATTGCTGTTGCACAAATCAGCTTGAAATACAGAAGAAAGAGTAAAACAGTTTCAGGATTGTTGCACTGAACTGAAAGTTGCATCTCCTCTCTCTCTCTCTGAGGGCACTGCTTAGCAAAAACATAACACAAAAATGTTAGTAAACAAGTATTCTTCCTGTTGCATCTGTCATAAGAGTGAACCAAATGGTACTTGCTGATCCAGTCCTCATAACATCTGTTCAGTTGCATTTTATGAGCAATGTCATTTTGTTCAGGTTCAGACATACTGTACAGGGTTCTCTAAGATATTTTCTCTGGCATGTGAGAAAGAGAATCTCTTGCCTCTCTAGATCAGGATCTGGCACCAAAGGCAGATCCAGCTGCTTAAAGCCACTTCTCCTCCAGATCAGGTCTTTCACAATTTTAAAAAACAAAACTCTTACACTCTCTAATTGTACACCACCCAGAATCACTCTCTTGTGAAATGGGCGGCTATACAAATATGATCGATCAATCTGTCAATTAATCAATCAATCGTTATGTCAGATTTAATGATAACCTGGATTGCAAATCATGCCCAGTATACAATTGGCTTCTTATTAAAATGGCATTCAAGATCCCAGACTTCATTGTGAAATGTTTTTTGCACTGGCAGTCTTTCTTTGCTGTGTATGGATTGACATTTCCATTTATAATATTTCAGGAAGGAAGAAATTAATAAATGTAAATTATTACTTGGAATTGCAGTTAGTGGGTTCCAGATTCTTTATCAAAACTACCTTTAAATCTAAAAATAATGGGATTGACTTCCAATAGCCGGGGAGGATGGGGGGTGGCAGAGAGAAGAAAATATATTTTTGTACAACATTGTCTTAACAAATAAAATGTGCAAGTCTCTTTGATGGCCCTGATTTTCATTTGTTTACTGGCCAAAACTCCTATCTGTTGGATTCCCATGCTACACTGGGCAACAAACTAGCCAACCTCTTTTTAACCTAGCATTTGTGCAAGCCCTACCTGCATGGTTAGTTAAGGTCCAGTATGCTGAATACACCCATAATTCAATAAACCCATTAAACAAGGATTAGTGGTCCCATTAAACAAGGATAAGTGTGTCATACATAGTCATTACATAAGTAAATCTGTCTCAAATAAATGCACTGCCTTCTCTCTGAATCTGGCATGTAGTACTTCATAGTTGTGATCAAGCATTTCGGCATATGGTCTCGTTAAGCATAGTGGCCATATAGAAGTTATACTATACGGCTGCAATGCTTGCCCTACTCTCTAGCCTTGCCCATTGTGCCTTGTTCCTGCTTGCTCTAAACGAATATCTTTGCAAAACTGTTCAGCTTGGCCTATCAGTACCAATCTGATGCAACCAGGCACCTTTCTTACATAAATATGTGCTTGTTTGGTCCAGTTACCATAGAAACGTTTTTCATTTGGTCATTTCATCACACTATAAAAGCATTTAGAAGATTTACCTAGAAATGAAAATTCTCCAGTATAATAAAGTTGGGGAAAAGTGGATATGCTCAGGGTTGGTGACGTGTTTCATTGATAGATATGACTAGATGTTAGGCAAATTGGAAGAGAAAACTTTAGCTATATATGTGTTAATATAAATAAAACACTCCCACATAGGAATTAGTATAAAACTGTATCTGTGACTAAGCTGAATCTTAGCATTAACAGATCTGATGGCTGCCAGGTCTATTCATATATGTTTGTGGCATGTTTTAAGGACATTTCTTGAATTGGAACATTACGTTGTATGAAGCACATGGGTATGCTGAGAGTGGATGCCAAAACAATCTGGAAATACTTAATATTCTTTTTCAATGCACAATATTAACAGATGCTAATGAAAAGAAGACAATCTGATTATTTTAATCATTATCAAATCCTTTCTTGGCAGCACTGTTTACTCAATGTGAGAGGTCACTCTAACATCTGCACATTCTCATATGTTCCTTAAATTGTTTGCTCACAGACATTTTGATGATTCAAGGCTTCTTAAGTATGTTTTACATCTTTTATTTTGCCAAAGGTATTTTTATTCTGCTTTTTTCCCAAACACACGCCTTTTCCATGGAATGATATTGGCTCTGCGGGGGAAAATATTTATTTTTACAATAAGTTTTTCAAGGCATGTGTGTATGGGTGGGTGGCAATAGATTCCCTGCCTCAGAGTCAGCTGGAAGCCTTGGGTTGGGGAATCAATCAAATAAAAATCCCCATAATGTTAGAATCAAAGCACATCGCCATTTTGTGTTGGCTTTGCTCACACACGCAACTGGCTTGTGAAGCACTGTTGCTGGAGACACAGAGTGTAGGCCAGTGATTCTCAACCTTTTTGAAGCTGCCGCCCCCCTAAGGAGCGGAAAATTTT